AAAAATGTTATCCTTCTTAACCCATTAATTTTTTCTAATTATTTAGGGGTTGATCTCATTTTCTCTCAAATATTTTTCAGCGTGATCAAAAATTCTAGTAGGACTGGAACAATAGCAGGAATGCAAACTAGATTAAATGAAAGATCAGGAAAAGAATATGATCACAGTTTTAACATGAAGAAAGTTAAAGCCAGTTCTCACAGCATACAGGACTAAGAGTAATGGCCTAAAATCAGTTCATGTTAAATATTAGAAAAATCTTTCTAACCATAAGAGTAGCATAACATAGGAATCAATTATCAAAGGTGATCAGCTCCCCTTTAATTGAATTATTTAAATGGAGGCTGGATATCCAGCTATTGGGAATGCTTTAATTTTAACTCCTGTGTTAAACAGGATTACACCTTGATAGATAAAATTCTGTGAAAGGCAAGGTTCACACATGGCGGTACACCAAAGTTGCTTTGGCTGTGGCTTATTGAAGAAAATGTAGTGGTGAGGTTGCTTATTATTATTATAAGCTAAAACCAAACAAATTACATTATGACTTAGTATAATGTGTGAACCCAACCAAAATCTCTATGGAAGTTCTAACTCTCAGAATAAAACCTTACTCTAGTCTATGCCAAGAATTCACCCCATCAAGCATAGAACACATGTGAGGAACTATACAAAGAGATCATTAAAAGTATCATAGCTGTATTACCATAAATACCGACCTAAAAGAGACTTCAGCAATAGATAATGGTACAATTTCTGTAAGTACAAATTCTACAAAGCTGTTAAGTATACTGTTACATATTTCTACATAAACATTAAAAGTTTTTCTGATCCAAATACAATTGAGGCCTTCTATGAAAACCTTCAGCATGTAATACAGACAGTATCTTTCTTTCTTTACAAAACATTTTAAGGTACTTTGGATTAATAGACAGTAATTGAACCAAAACTACCCAGTGAACTCCATGACTAAGTGGGGATCTGACAACTACCACTGATTCTCAAACCTAGCCAAATAGAGATTACAGTATATGAGTTGGCAATTCTAGGGTTCAACCATTGGTTTGATGGACTGTACTACATTATGTTTTACCCTCTTGCAGCTTTCACAAGGTTTGCATGAGTAGTATAGAAACCACCATCCTCTTTAAAATGCAACTATCCCTTCAACGGATCAAAAATCTTAAGAAGGATTTACAATGCCTAATTTACACTGCAAGTTATTTCCTTTACACTTTGATATGAGGTAATAAAACAATGACTAAATATAGCAAATTAGAGAAAAATAGACTCAGCACAGAGGCAGGTAAAATTCTTTTGAGTTACAAAATAAATTTTAAGCAGCATTAAAAATCTTCCAAGTCAGAGTCTAAATTACTGACCTAAATCTTTTCCTGAAGCTTTAGCTATAAGGGTTCTTTTTGAACAATAAGTTCTGGATGTGGAATAGCAAATGAGTCTTTAATGTTAGATCCTGGAAATGGAACCTTGCCATCTTGGAACTCCCAAAGCATCACAAAGCTTTCTCTCAAGCTTGACTTCACATTCTCTCTTCTGCTCTGCTCGAAGGCAGATTTACAACAAGCCTATAAAAGGGTGGTACCCATTCTTTGGATTCAAGGACACTTGATACAAATGAAATGTCTTCATACAATGCTGTATATAATGAGGATTGAGTTATACATCTCTACTGGGGCTAGGCAAGTAATGCCATTGCAGGGGGGTGTTCCTGGACTCACTGCTCCTGCTTAATGAGCAGATATAGCCATGGCAAGGGGATGCTTTGTACAGATTTGTTTTGTGCACCAATAGCACTCTTTTCTGGACCAAGAGGCCTTGCTCACAATCACTCATATAAATTACCTTCTGGCTGCATTATTGTAAAGCTCTAAAGCTGCCCTTAAAGTCCACTTGGAAGTTACAACTGGCCCAGAACACAGCGGTGTCTAGAGCAGTGGTTCTCAACCTATGGGTCGCGACCCCATTTGGGGTCGATCGACCATTTCACGGGGGTCGCCATGCAAGGCTGTCCGCCATTTTTTTCCTCTTTTCCGGCGGGTGCCTTACCTCCCTTGGGCTGGGCCAGCTGGTGGTCGGCCTGCTCTGTCTCTGCCGCTTGCCAGCTACGCCTCGGCCGGCGCAGGGGACGGAACCATGCATGCGCAGCGCTCCCGGGCAGGGAAAGTCCTCGACATACGACCGGTTGGGTAGTCCTCAACTTACAACCGGTTTAGTCCTTGACTTACAACCGGTTTAGTCCTCGACTTATGACCGGTTTAGTCCTCGACTTACGACCGGTTGGGGGTCGCGGCATTAAAAAGGTTGAGAACCACTGGTCTAGAGTATTAGGTGCCCATAGGCTCACCTATGTTATACCTTTATTGTATGAGCCGCACAGGCTCCCTGATTTCTTTCAGGTGTCATTCAAGCTGATGGTTATTGCCTTTAAAGCCCTATAGGCCATGGGACCTGATTATTTGTGAGGCCACCTCTCCCTAAGAATATACACCCATTAGATCAGGTAGGATGGGCACGCTCTAGGTCCCCTCCCTGAAATCTAGTGGGATCTTGGAAGCATGCCTTTTCTGTGGCTGCTCCTACTTTTTGGAATACCCTTCCACTGGTGATTCAACAAGCCCCCACCATTCTAGTCTTCCTGAAGGCCATTAAAACTTCACTTTTTATGGAGGTGCTGACATTGTGCACATAGAAGTTATGGAAGGACTACAGTTGAGCCTGCTGTGAGGCATCTCAAGTGGGACATAATGATAATTATGGTCCATTTAGTGAACTTCCAAGAGCACCTAGATTAATTCTTCAATCTTATACACAGCCAAATTCTGTATGCAGCATGTAGAGTACAGCAATAAATGGTAAGAGTATACTATCAAAACCAGTTCCCTCTCCAGCTATAGCACTTATTCCCTATTGCTTTCATTTTACAATCTGTTTGTTTCCCCACTGTATTATTCATTATGTAACACACTATTGGATTACTGTCTGGACTTTTTTTTATTTCTTGTAGGCCTTTGGCTATAACAAAGAATTTATTCATTCAAAACTAGAGGTGACTTAAGCAGATAAATGACTCAAGAATAGACTATGATTCAGTATACAAGAGAAGCAAAATAAAAATAAATATGCTCTTTACACAGAAATCCTTTTTTAAATAAAAAGTTATATATTTTATAAAAGCTCAATAAGATCAGATTTGCAACTTTTTTCTTCATGACTAATTTTAAAGGCTTTTAAAAATACTTTAGAAAAACAAGTTAAACTGCAATTATAACATAAAATACATTAAATCGTATCTTGACAATATTTCAAATTTCGTTCAGGATTTAATGACCTTCATGCTATTTTGGGCAACCAAAGATAGGCTTCAGAATTCATAGTTCATTTTTCTCTGTAAAAATAACATCTGCATAGGTATCTGAAGAAACAAATTTGTATAAATCAATTTTTATCAGTGAAGATAATGCTCCTAACAAACATTCAAACTACCTTGTTAATTGATGTGTGGAAATATCAAAACCATAATAGCTAAGGAGAAATAGTGTAGAAAATTTCAGTTTTGTTCAAAAACACCAAATTAATGCATTAAACTAAATACCGGTAGCATTGTCAACAGCAAATCTAAAGACCAAAATATTGTTTTTGTTTTCTGCCTTCATTTGTTTTAAAAGCAAACCAGTAGATGGTGCTGTTTGCTTACTACAGTGTACATAATTGTTTAGTTTATTAGGCAAAACTAAGATTAGTCCAATTCATATTACAGATTACCCATAAAATAATACCACAAATTAATAATTTGCATACTAGGATTGCATTAAAATGTCATCTCTTCTGGTTATTGATCTAAAAATATTTAGTTTGGGAGAAAGAGTGATTTTCAAGCTTATTTCCTGCTTAATTGTTTTCAATCTGTTCCCACTACTTTTTAGAATAATTTGGTTTTCACTCTACTTTAATTATGTCAAAAACCAAAACTCAGATAACATTACCTTCCAGATGTTGCTTACTTACAATTCTCAGTATCCTTAGCCAATGTAGTTAGCAAGGGGAATGATGACTTGAAAACATGTACAGGGACTTAAATTATGTAATTAAGTGGATTATTTTAATGGTTCATTAAAAGTAGTTAATATTAATTAGGAGTATGTCTAATATTGTATGATGAATAACTGAATAAGAATGTAATACATGGCCCTGGTTTTATACAGGCTAATTTTTTCACCTTTTCTTCAAAAGGGTCAACAGCAATTTCTTCGGTCATTTTCAGATTGTGCCTTTTTCTTTCATCTCATGCTTTATTGTAATGGAATGTATGAAAGATCTTGGGGAAAAAGAGGAGGAGATGCTGCCTAGGAAGCAATCAGACAAGAGAAGCAGGAGCCTGCAGTCGCTTTATGTCAGAGAAACTTAAGAAAGACCCACTTTAATGGACCAAGTAGTGAAATTTGTGTCTTCAGACTTGCAAGATTCTATTAACATAGCCTTACAATAAAGTAGAATTAGTTCATTTTCAAAATTTTAATACAAACATAATAATTTTATTGAAAATTGATTTTTTCCACCGTGGCTCAATTTCCCATTAAATAAGATGGCATCGATTGAAATCTTTCTAAAAGAATGACTCAGACTGGAACTATGGAAGGAGGAAGTATTATCTTGACTTTTGCCCTCTTCCTGATATTTTAAACCAGCTCAGCTCCATCCTCCCACTATCTGCACTGAAAAAAGAGCTCCCATTCTTACTAATGGACCCTTTGCCAATATCTCTGAAGCTGCCATTTGTTTTTTAAAAAGCCATTCACTCACTATTAGGATGAAGGGTATCTTGCTTAACTAAATCTTAGGTTGCATAATGCAGGCAGAACAAGTAACAAGGTAATACAGGAACTATGATGACCCTTCTGACATTAGACACTGTCACTGAATAGTCATGCTAGTCAGATGAGAGTTACAGGAGAAGCAAATGCTTATAATGATAGTCTGACCTGTAAAATTAGAATGAAGTAATCAATAGGTTTGTTTCGCTGATAGAGGTAGTATTCGGGGGCTTTCTTGTTTTTATCATCATACTTCAGCTCCTGAATAACATTGGGATGCTTTAGTAGCCTCAGGAGGATCTTTTCAGACATTTGGGATGGGCCAAATGCTTCAACCTCTGAAAACACAAAAACAACTTGATTGATAACGTATAGCACATTTGTTAAGACATAATACATTGATTAGCACATTATTAAAATAAATACAAAAGTAGAATGGCAAATATCTCAGGCCAACACATCTCTGTTAACTTATTATCTCTGTCCTCTGCCATGTTCACCATGTCCATGTCACTGCTCAGACTGCCCAAGAATTTATCAATCCATCTGGGCAATAATAGACTGCAGGTACCTGTCTATTCATTAAGTGAGACCAGAAGTGGAGAAAGCAATTAAAGAAGATATCTTTCTTCTGTTTTTTGTTGGCTACTCCACCTGGAAATTCGACCTAAAATATTTTTCCTCCCAAAAGGAAAAAGGCACACATATAAAAGAAAAAAGGAAACTGTGGAGAAGGCAGGAAGAGAAAAGGGAAAGATTTATCTTGAATGAACAGGATTCAGTCCTGCACTTTTGTTTCATTCCAGCAACTATTTTTAATTAAATGAAAGACAAAGAAAGTTACATGACTTTCCTAATGGAATCCAGTTCAGTTTTAGCCTGATCAAGTCTATGAAAGTAATGTGATGCTGCTCCTTACCCTGACCCTCTCAAACAATTTTAAGTTGTACTAGCTCTATTTCTGTTAAACTCTCAGAATTTCTATCAGCACTGACCATAAACTATAAGAGAAGAGAATATAATGAACGAGACACAATATACAATTCCCTAACACAGCTTCCCTACCCCATCCACTATTTCATCGATTCTGTTAACCATTTAGCAGTTAGATCCTAATGTGATAAGAACTTTAATAAACCACACTTGCCTGTTGCTAGGAAACGATGCATTGCCAAAAGCAATTGTGGTGAGATTTTAACCTTCATTTCACTATCTGTCTGTTTGAAGGCAGAGAAATCCTGTTTTCTCTCCCGGTGGGCTACTTTCTTTTTGGTCTTGTTATCAGCTAGAGATAAAACAAATAAAATATTCATTACATTTCATTCCAGTGTTTACCTTGTGATTCCATTTTTAACGTTGATACACAATTATTACAAGCTGTTGTTATTTACACAAATAGAAGTTCACAAACCTCTGAGAAACTCCATCCATCTAATTAAAAGTTTGTGATATCGAGTAACTTCTGATAAAAGTCTTTACCTTATCAAAGCAAGCTACTGCGTAAATTAATGTAAGATCTGTTTTTATTAAGTTAACATGTAAAGACCTGTTAGAGTGTTCCCAACTGCTGCTTTTCTGCATTAAAAATTAGGGCAGTGAGGCATAAATTATGGCACTGAGGAAGTGTTCCTGGCTTTACAAATAATGACAACAGTGAGGAAAAGAGATAATCGGCAGAAAATAATCCAACATTCCTTTGAATAGTGATAGACAAAAAAAATATTTGGCATTTTTGTTTCTCTTGTACCAGCACGTTTTATGCTAATAGGAAAACTGCATTAATTTTAATGGTGTCACAGGATCAGATGAAACTGTTGGCTATTTTTCATGTACAAAATAAGGAGAGCTTCATACAATCATAGCTAAAGATCTAAATAGATTGAAAATCTTCTAGGAGGGAAGTGTTTAATGAAATGAGTGTTGCAAATGTCTGATGATTGTGCATAAAAATGACGAGCCAATATGAAATTAAGGAAACTGTGCTGTAATAGGCATATTTAAATATGCTTATAGAATATAGAAACACAGAACACTGATGGCAGAAAAAGACCTAATAGTCCATTGAGTCTGCCCTTTGAGTTTGTATTTTCTTTTCTTTTACAACTGATTCTTTTTAGACATAATCTTAAATTTACCAAATATTTCAGACTATTATCGGTATAACAAACTACGTGCAATATATACAGCAAATCATACAGGCTTTCAGTATTTCTAATTTTGTAATTTGTTATTTTTGTAATTTAATTTATAATTTAAATTAGTAATAGAAAGTTTAGAGCATGGTGTCCAACCTTTTGATTTGTCTGTGCCACTGAGTGAAGAACTGTTTGGGGCGACATATAAAATATATAATATAGTTAATGTATATAAAATATATAATGATGTTAAAAGTTTATGATCTTGTGGGGATGCATTATTAGCTGTTCAGGGCCTCATGTGGTCCAGGGGGCACAGGTTGGACCCACCTGGTTTAAAGGGCAACCTGCTATATACCTTGTAGTGCAGATTACATTTTAAAATGGTAACATCAACTGTACTAGAAGGATTGTCCTAAGCAGATTTTGTCAAACATATTCTTTTTAAGAAGTTTATAACTATGAAATTTTTTAGTATGCCATCTTCTGAAAATAAAATTTGACTGCAGCAAGCATTAACTATTGTCTAGATCAGGGGTAGGCAACCTTGGCTCTTTTATGACTCGTGGACGTCAACTCCCAGAATTCCTGAGCCAGCATGGCTCAGTATGGAAACCTCCCTTTTCCATCAGCGTGGCTGGCTCAGGAATTCTGGGAGTTGAAGTCCACGAGTCATAAAAGAGCCAAGGTTGCCTACCCCTGATCTAGATATTGTGGGTTGAAGCTGTTTTTTAGTATATGTTAAGATTAGCTAATGTCAGACATGGTTTATCATACTGAGTGTTGCCTTTTAACAAAATGTATATATCTTTGGGGATTGTGTTATTATGTTATTTTCATATACACTTTTTTCATAAAAGAAGTATTGGGTGGAATCTGATATCAGGTAAAATTTGCCTGAGAAACAGACTTTTTCTTCCTCAGCTCTTCTCCACAGCCAGAGAATTCCTCAACTCTCTCATGATTCCAGAGGACTTGTGAAGGAGGCTGCAAAAGGAAGGACCCTACTCTGACCCCCACATAAAGACATTATGGAAACAGTTCCCTAAACCAAACAGGAAACAGGATTAGATTAACTAATTTTATATCACGGTAAGGCTACATTAACAGAATCTTGCAAATCTGAAGGCACAAACTTCCTCCTGCCATATCACCATATTGATGCTGGACACCCGATCGGCATAGCCCACTGCAGCCCAGAACTCCTGAGCTCAAGCGATCCGCCAGCTTCAGCCTCCTGAGTAGCTGGATTACAGGCTCACGCCACTGCCCCCGGCTAACTTCCTCCTGCCACTTTTAACTGATTGATCCATCAGGAAGGGTCATTTCTAAATTTCTTTCTCTAATGGTTAAGCCACTGGGGCTCTTGCATCTCTTGTCTGTTTCCTAGGCAGCATCTCTTTCCTTTTTCCTCCAAGGTCATTCACACATTCTATTACATCAGAAGGGCCTTTGTACAACTTTGTATTGGGTGCCAGTTGCACCTGTTCCTGGATCATGAGGTACTGCTCACAATTACTCACTTCGTGGTCATCTCCCAAAAGGATTACTGTCATGCTGCTGCCTTTGAAGAGCATCCAGAAACTCCAGCTGCAATGGCATGGGCAATGATATATGTCTCTAGAAAGACACATTATACCTTTGATCTGTGAGTTTTCATTGGTTACCAATTTGACTCTTGGTCCAATTCAAGGTGCTGTTTTTGATCTTCAAAGCCCTACATGATATGAGGCCATATTATCTGAGGGACTGCCTCTCCCTGATTACATCTACCCATCCCATCAAGTTTGGCAGGAGAGTCATGCTGCAGGTCCCATCAGCTAAAAAAATTCTGTCTGATGGGGCCTAGGAAAAAAGCCTTTTCTGCCACAGCACTTGCCCTTTGCGATATTATTTGCCCTGAAGTGGTAGCCCCAACCCGTATGGCCTTCCTGAAAGCTCTCAAAACATGCTTTTTGCATCAGGCCTGGGGATCCCCTTCCAGTAAGGAGCCTGTACTGTGGCTACATCATGCATATCATTCAGATTTTGACCCTCTTGCAATCTTGGTTTTAATAATTAATTGTTTTTAACAAAACAATTTTAACAAATTAAATAATTAATTTAGTTGATATTATAACATGTGTAAACCAGTGGATTTTAGGGATGCTGCCCAGAGTCATCTTGTGTGAGATGGGCAGCTATGTAAATCTGATAAAACAAACATTAACAAACAGCATTCATGTAGAAAAGGTATAGCTGAAGAGATTTTAATAGGAGCCTAAGATATATCACAGTAAGCAACTTGAATAATTGAGTAGAAAATATCCCAAAGAAAGGCTAGCACAATGGTCCCAGCAAATTGTTGCCTACAGATCATTGCAGAAACACTAGAACCTCCTTAATTGACTGCATAAGGTTATATCTCCAAAGGTGATCTGCTCGGTGCCCTGTTCTTGAACTATTTAGGAAGTTACTGTATATACTGTGAAGTTTGTTTACAACTAGTGCAGTTGTTTCAGCAGTAGTAGAATATGTATAGCTACACCTTCAGCAGCTTGGCTGCTGCCTAAATCACTAGCTACAGCTTGAGGATAGGACTATATCAAATCCATTGAGGAAGAAAACCCATTAGTGGAAGATACTCCTGTCCAGGAAAAAGTATAACTGGTATACTAACAAATGTTCCAGGTCACAGAACTCATTTGGGCCTCCAATGATGGTAAACCACAATCACATACTGAAAAACACACCCTCCCAACCGAGGCTCTGTGTTGTCAGGATTCAGATCTGTATTTGCATTTATTACTGAGTTCAGCATCTGAAAATATGCTTGACCAGATATGACAGCATAACAAAAATACATGTACATTTTCCAAAATGTCTGCAGCCCAATCTACATTGTTTTTTTACAACTGTCTGTCTCTTTTCCACAACAAACTGCAGTGATGGCACATGAGGTACTACAAACCATGCATTGCAGTAGTAAAAATTTTCTGACATTTTCAGAGAAGACATACAGTGCTTCTGAGGGCTAATCCAAGCCATTTTGCTGCCTAATTCTTGACAATATTCTTACACTCTCAAATACCATGTATAGGAGACAACTAGAAGAAAGGTAACAGATCATTTTAAAGCATCAGACTAAATTAAAAGGTATAAAATTGATCACTTATTGTGAAAATTTGATCCTTTATCTTCTAAAATAGCTGTCTATTGATAAGACTGTCTCCTTTTGTTATGATATAGAGGCAGTCACATGCATTTTGAATTAGGCCAGGCTTTCAATTTTAGTTCACATTTAATTCATCTCAAAATGTAATTTACCTCAAAAAGTAAAAAGACAGAAAACTTTATTACAAGAAGGCCTTTATAAAATTCTGAGGGCAAACACTGTGGTGCTTAATACTCACTGTAGAGATCTGTTTCATCTAGAATCTCAGATTTGATGATCTCTTCAATTACATCTTCCAAGGTAACAATGCCCAAGACTTCATAAAAAGGATCCCCTTCCCCTTCATTATTCACCCGCTGCACAATTGCCAAGTGAGATTTACCTGCACAAAGTAGCAGACCAAGAAATTAGAATTTAGAGCAGATTGATTACCTTGTCAGTTCCAAAATGATACAGATGAATCTTGTAATGCAACAACATATAATTTAAGAGATACTGATGCTTAAAAAACCAACAAAACCAGAAATCTATCTAAAAGTTTACCAAACATTTTTAGAGGCAATCATAACTAAAGAGATTTGTTTTTCTTGTTGGGTACCATAGGAAGTAGGGTTACTTGACTAGTGACATTAATTAGGTAGTTGGAATCAATTTTTCAACATTTTGTTTGAGAAGGTTGGATATGGAATTAAGGAGCAAAATCAACATATTATTTATAAAGCAGCAAAAAAAGGAAACAGGAAAAACCACATTACTCTAGATTAGCAGTTTTCCTAAATTATGGCAGTACAATTTGGAAGTGCTCTGAGAATCACAAAATGGGGGGAGGGAAGCATAGGAGGTCCCCAAATTATCTAATCCTATTAAGATTTTTCACCTTGTAGAACATTAAGTCAAGTAACAAGGAACAGATGATATCCCTGATATTTCAACTATGCTAAGAAAAATTGAGTTCAAGCGTCTTTAATCACTTCACAAAGATCATCACCATTATATATCAAATGCAACAGAATTTGATTTGTTTGTATCCAAAATATATAAAATATATTAAACAAAACAAGCCTAAACAGCATAAATACAATTAAAGCAATATCCAAACATCAAAGCACAAACAAAGTTTAATATTAAAATAGAAATTTAAACATCAGAGATTAATATTTTTGTAAGCTACCCAGAGTCACTAGTAGCAAGTAGGCGGACATATAAATTCAAATTAATAAATACATAAATAAATAGCATACTATCTTCCAAAAAACCTCTGACACAAAATCTAATTTGTACTAAATTATGTATGCATATTCTAAAATGATTTGCCCCAATTCCAGCTTATGAATCTAGAAACTGACAATTTTTTTCAATAAACTTAACATTGTTTTCATCAATTGCCCTCTCCTTAGAAAAATGATATTCCATTTAAATTATTAATTATGATGTGCTATACCATTCATCTAGAAACAGTTGAATTAGATCAGTTGAGATTTTAGAGAATCAAAACATTTTTTACTAAATGGCAGGTAAGGATTGCATTTTGTTAAGAACAAATAATGACTGAAGATTAAATATGACATTAATTAATGGTTGTAACTTAAGTGAATAACTATCTGTGTATCAGCCTTTTGGCCACAGTAAAGGCATGGAGAATCCACTTATGCTGTTTAGTTGTCAAATTTCATGTACTTGTATGTAGTTCAAGAGAATATTATAGACTATAGAAGATTATTTCAATAAATGATTATTTCAGCAAGATTACCATAGACCTAGATTTGGAAAGATTTGACATTATTCATTGTGAAGGAATGGTTGGTGAAGATAATAGATCTTGCTGAAATAGATAAACTGACTTCTTTGATTAGAGAAAAAGCATTATGTACATTTATTGGTGACTGAAAGCCTCATGGATTTTTTGGGTAAAAATGAAAAAAATGAACCAAAAATGACTTATGGTTTTGATGATTAGACAGGATAGATTATAGAAAGAAGGTAACTTTAGAGAGAGGTCAAATATCTTTGTACATATAACTGTTATGAATAATATTGGAAGTTACTTCTTCATATATTTTTTCTTTCTTTTCTACTTTTCTTCTATTTTTCTTTTTTGCAATTTTTCCTTTATTTTTCTCTCCCTACTTTATATTAGTTTGCTAGTTTTTTTCTTCCTGTTCAAAAGTTTTAATTAAAAATTATAGAAAAAGAGATATTAACCTCTGAGAATTTTACTTTTAGTCACACAGTCATATTTATATGGTTCACTACTTTCTCCCAAACTTAGTAAATATAGAACAGTGGAGAAACATGTGTTTTAAAGAAGCATTATCTTTATTATATCCCAACAAAATGGTGATTTTGACAGTTCTTATCTATAGAAATATAATGGAGTCCAATTAATTCTAAATATTATGTCAGTTCATTAAAGAACAATACTGATAATCCTCATTTACCAACTGGAATTAGGACTGGTCACTCAATTACTAAGTAGTGTGGTAGTTAAGCATGATATTACGTGACTGTGCCAACTTACAACCTCAATTCCAGCAGATCTGACTGTGGTTGTGAATCACTATGGGTTGTTAAACACAACATCACACATGCTAGTTGCAAGTGTCTGAATTTTGATTATATGACTGCTAGGACATGATGTAGACCGCAACTTTGAGAGCCAGTTGTTTCTATTTTCAGCATCACTGTAAGTTTGACTGGTCACCAAAGAAGTGGTTGACAATTGAGGACTACCTGTAAACTAATTGATATATGACTAATCACATTAAAGTATTCCTTTAGGTGCTTATTAACTAACAACAGCATACTTATCCAGAATTAAAAAATAACTGAATTCAGACACTCACTCTTTAATTCTATTCTAGGTGTTAGATTACTACCTAAATGGCAGATGCAAGGGGGGGAAAAGACATTTGTTTAAGTAAGAATTTGATTCAAATATCTTAGGCTTATTGAACGAGCAATCAAAATATCCTATTCAAGTAAATGGATGTTTAAAGAATGAAGATATTCTGGAAACAGAAGATCAGGGAGAAGACCTTAATAATTGACATAGATACTGCATCAGGTCAAAATAATTCAGTTCACTAAACTTCACATCTGCTTTCCCAGGGACCTAACATAAGCAAATTCTTTGAGAATGCTGTCTGCTGAAAGTTAAATTCTTTTGCTATTCCCAGCTTGTGATCATTTAAAAGGAATTTTCCAAAGCAAGGTCTAATATTAGACTCAAAATGAAGTTTCCATTCCACTTACGCGATATTCTCACCAAAGTAACTAATATATAATCTGATTGTCTTGGAGCTACTCGTTTAGATGCAGATGACCATACTTCAAATACCAACTGAACCATACTGACAAAGTTTGTCTCAAAGAAACCTTTACAGCATGAATTGTTATTAGAATCATAATTTGCATTTATAATTATGTACAGTATCACAAACATCATTAGGCCATAAAAAATGAAAACCCTTCCTTACATAATTATATTTTGTTATCAATTTGCAATCCATGGTCTCTCAGAAGCAATATAAGTTCTAGTTATTCTAATTGTTTCAAAGAAAGACAATAGAGATTTATTTGGTAACAGAATACCAGAGTGCAGATACAAGTAAAGATATGGAATCATTTTGACTTAAACTACCCATTTGAATAAAGTTTACATTTTAAATTTGAAGTCAATAAAACATATTAATGAAAACAAATAACACAGTTTCATAAAGATTCACTACCCTTAATTTTGTATATTATACTTTGATACTTTAAAACAGTAAATAAGAAACATGAATAGTTTACATTTTATTCCAATCTTTAATAATATATATATTTGCTCTTTTATAGCTTTATAGAAATTAAATTACTTTTAGAAGAAATAAAATATACATTGTGATATCACTAAAAGGATTTTTTTCAACGTGCAAATATTAGGAAAAAAATATTGGACCTCTACATCAAACTAAAGCTATTGAAATGTTAGTTAGTGTGGGTTGTTACAATCCTAATAGCTAATTTGCAGTGTAATGAACAGTTTATTTTACTTCTATCTCTCAAAAGTGTGGGGGTTAGGGGACGGAAATGAATGATCCGGACTGCAGCACTTTTTAGATATGTTGTATATAGTATGTTTAGGTGTGTGTCATGTATGTGTTCACTTTGAGAGCGGGCAACTAAATTTCATTTTTGATGTGTCCCGTTGTGCCCACAGTAAAAAAAATGACAATAAAGGTTATCTTATCTCTTCTTCCCAGGAATGTGTTTTGACGTGGCTGCATCTAATGCAATAGTGTAAAAAGCAGCAATACAATATATATTTGAAATGGATGGGAGTTATCATTGTGTAGTTTTACATAGGATTTGGGTAATTATTGCTGAAAGATTCATGAAGCATGTGCCAAAGATTTAGATACAGAAATGAAGCACAGTATGTTTTATTGCTAAATTAATCAACAGAGCATATACTTATTAATTAATGAGGAACAGTTTTAATAAATAGGAAATTTTAAAAGATTACAGACTACCTAACAACTACCTATGTTGTTTTGTATTGAAGTTATCTATGCAAACGCATTGTCAGACAAATCATGTTTTTTTGGAGTAACAAGTAGGTTTATATGTAAATGTGTCTGCATATATAAATACATGTCTATTTAATAAAGAAGGTTAGTGATGAAGTTGAGAAGGTGAAGGAAAGGTTTTTAAAGTTCTCTGAAAAGAATCAAGATGGGTTCTTCACTTTAATAGTTAACAAAATTATAGAACTTAGAACTTGTGGCATGTTTGTCAAAAGGAAATTTAAGAACTACTTAATGTTATATATTTTTTCTTCATTCCACTTGGTTATCATTGAAAGCTATTGGAACAAACAAGCAACCCCCCCCTTGACATTATACAAATATATATAGTTTATTAAATAGCTCTCTGCCCATACAGCTGACACCCAACTTTCCCACTCCCACATTAAAATATCACTAATTCTGGAGATCTGACAATTGTCCAAACTGAGAAAGGAAGTGGAAAATGAGCAAAATATTAGAAAGACCCTGAAGAGAATGAAACTATTTTTTCTTTAGATGCTTAGAAAAGAACTGAGATAGACAAGCTGAAATAATGGAAATGTTTTCTATGATTCTTAAAATGAAATAATGTGTACAAAAGGGTATTATTTATAAAAAACATACTTATAATGGAACAAGAGAAGTTCTCATAGAAACCTAAATCCTTCAATATGTCAGCATAGTACTTTTGTTGTTGCTGATTAATTTCACTGGACCCTGCGATGATGGATAGGAATTCTGAAAGATAGCTTTACATTCTATTATCCCCTGAGAACCCATAGTCCATTTTCTTTCTAAGTTAATAAAAATTACTTATAATTATTACTTTACT